AGTACAATGAGATTTGGAGAGCAGTAGCTTCTACATTTATTTTCTTAATTGTGTATCATGTATCACAATAAAATATACAAATACAAATAAAGTGCCTAAGGGTAACAAAGGTTGTGTTATAATTATTAATATTATAATTAGGCATATTATTATTAGTATCAGTATGAGAGGAGGAAGAGTGATGAGTCTTGTTATATTGCCCTGAGGGGGATGCGTCCTGCTCTGTGGCTCTGCAGTGTCCGCATCATCCGAAGGAGGACTTTAAATATTTGCAGAATGATGTGTGGATCAGTTGGCACTCAGATGAGCGAACATGTCCATTTTTTGTGCCTCTAAATTCGGTTTGGTTTGTCGCTTTCTGAGACCTTCTAGAAGAGACCAGGATCAGGTGTGGATTCATACAGTAAATTATTTATTTCGTTTATGTCATTTGGAACTCTGCAGAAAAAAGTGATTGTTTGGAGGTTAATTGCCGTGTGCACATGAGGTTTGTCGTATATAGAAGCCTTTTGGAGCCACATAGGTAGGCCTGTGTCACGGTAAAAAGGGCCGTGTCGCGCCTCCAAAGAGCGGCGAAAAGTAGGTCCATGAGCAGGCTGCAAGCTCAGGCCTGTCTGAAGAGCCGATTAGAAAAACAGACTATTTAAACCTTTTCTGAAATATGTATTTTAAAAAACATACCCGCAAACTATAGGCTATAAGTGCTTTGGTTCATGTTATATATTGTTCCTATAGAAATACACAGTAAACATTAATACAATTGGCGCTTATTCTAAGATTATAGAAAGTGATTTTAAAATTTTGAAATAAATAGAATATAGCAGTCGGGACCTATGAGAATGAATTGTGGATTTTTTTATTTTTGTAATTGATTCAATTGACTGAATTTATACACGCCGCATATATTAAAATCCAATATTCACAGCGGGTTTACGGACTGCTGTGTGCAGAAGGGAAAAGCTGACTGTGAGCAGAAATGTATGCAGGCCTGCTGTTAAAGCCTTATATTGATTCACTGGGTTAAAGCCAACCCTGAGGCCTTCACTTCCCTCTGTCTGGAACCATAGCCACTGTTTGTTTGGAGGAGTTTAAAATAACGCAATTTTTCATACATTTCCCAGTGACCTCTAAAGAAATTGAGGCCATTAAAAATATATAAGAAAGAAGAAAACAACCCCAAGGATTTAAATGGTGCGTTGGTGCGCTAATTGCGTAACAAAAATCCATTTTCATCTGAGTGTATGCGTTGCGTTCAGAGGTCATTTAAAGCGGGCCGACAGCGCCTGACAACACAACACAACAATTAAACACAACGAAATGAGAAAATTCAAAGGATTTATTGAAAAGCGTCTATAAAGCAATTTGACACCAACTCTGTAATTATTACATTAAAGCTTCATGAACGTTTTCTATGAAAATGTAAAATATACTATGTTAATGGCAAAACGTTATATGAACATAAGTGTGTCCGTGTTGAATTTATTCATTTATCTTACAATTAGAAATGTTAGAGACATTACAAACTCCCGAGACAGGCTCGGTCTTTGAACACAACACAAACGGATTATTTCTTAATACTTTTGAATTCAAAGTGCTTGAGTACATTTTTAAATATTAACCCTGCTGAATTCGACAGGGTATATTCAGTCTAATTGGTTCAAATTATAGAGAAATATTCAATCTGTGGACTTAATTTATTATCTAAGCCTCACCTCGCTTCTCATAATTTGCTAGCATGAGCTTAGGCTGGAAGATATGAGTGAAAAAATACATTCTAGTTAGTTACAGTTGCAAAATAGTAAACTCTGTACAGAAAGTAGCCAGCTGCTGCAAAGGAAACATGCAACTCACTTCATGTTTAACCAATGCAGGGTGTGAAATGGACTTCATTTGATTTGGTCAATACATTAAACAGATGTCCAACTTTATAATATATACACACATATATGCACATTATGTAATTTGCTTTTATACATTACATACAAAAACTGCTTTGCCTAGTAATCACACTGTGTCCTATAAACCTCAGAATGATTCTGATGCAAGTCAGAGAAAGCAAAGCGCGGCATAAACAATCAGTCAAGCAATCATCTTTTGTCTTTGAAGAAGCCTTTAGAGGTGCTGCTCTCCTTGATGGTGACCGTCAGGAAGTTGGTGGTGACGTCTGTAACAAGGACCTTTTCCACGTTGCCCAGAGAGGGCCTCCACGTCACTTCATCCAAGTCGTGGTCGAGCCTGGTCGGGGACGGCCTGTCCAAGAAGTAAGGCTTTTCCATCTGTGGGAGCTCGGCAGGGCGACCCTGGTTCTGGCTCATTTTGGACTGGTGCTTGAAGTGTGGAGGAGCCAGGTAGCTGGAGCTGTCCTTAGTCCTGTGTGTGTCCATGTCTGTCCTGTGTGGGTGCAGGCCGCGGTCTGAGTAGAACTGCTTGTAGGAGCTTCCGCCGGAGATTCCCCGGTTGTGCGTGTGGTGATGATGGTGGTGGTGGTGATGGTGGTGTTTATGACTGTGTCCGTGGTTCTCTGGATGTCTGTGGGCCACTTTGACCAGCCTCATCTCCCCACCCCCCTGGAGCTTAGCCAGTTTGTGAGGGATGTGGCTCACCTCCTCTGCTCTCCTCTTGTGTGGCTCAGAGACGGCGGGGCCGCAGCTGCTGTCCTTGAAGCGGGGCTTAGGCTTCGGGCCTCTTTTTTTGGGTACGTGGATGAGTCCATCTGGACCGGTCTGCTGGAGGGAAGGCTGCTGGTGCTCACGGGCGCTCAGTTCTGCTGGTCGGATGCGTACGCTTTCTCCTCGGTTGACTGTGCTGGGTGGGAAGATGGTGGGAACAACGGCTCTCAGGCCCTCTCTGGCCCTGGGGGTGATAACCGGCTCTGGAGTTGGGTAGGTGATGTGCATCCCTCGGACTGCCTCACTCCTGAACTCATAGGACTTGGCTTTGACTTTAGCCTGAGCCTATTAGAAGGTAAGAGAATAAGAGGGAAATTATTATTCAAAAATATACAAAAAAGAAGAAGAAGGAAAAAAAAAAGAAAAGAGAAGTGCAGTTATTTATTTCTTCTTCGCAAAAACAGGCCTTTTTCACAGCAGGAATTTTGACTTTTCATAGTGGAAGAGCATGCACAAAACCAAGCAGCTAAACTCAATTCAGACATCATTCATTTTATTATTCACACATGTGCTTTTTCCACAGTGACATGTCAAAATATCTTCTTCGAAAGACGCCTATTGACTGTTTCAGTTACGGCCCATGCCACACTCCATGTGTGTAACATTTTAAAATGGGAAACATAAGAGTGCTAGCAGTGGCAGACACACAAACAGGCTACAGCAGCAGCAAGGCCACCGTATTTATTAGTCCAATTCCACTAGCCCATTTCTGACAACAGCCCTGTCAACGGAGACTCTGGTATTTAGTTCAAGATAAACTGTCGGTCATTAAGCAATTTTCACGGTTCGTTGTCCTGAAAAGCTGAAACCTCTTGCTGACTGCACCAGGCTTCACTCCATTCAATCCATTCACGTAGGACAGTAAAATTTTTTGCATCTTGAATTTAATGACGGGTGAAATAGTAAAAACGGATCTCTGTAAAACATCTGAGCAAGTCGCTGCAATGGCGGCTTCACAACAGGAATGACAGGTGCTCCAAAGCGCCTTTAGTATGTCAACGTTACACACACACATACATTAAATGGCTAAGAAGTGTTGTTGGGATAGGCATAAACTGTAGCCATTCATGTAAAGGAAAACCTCGGCATATGTGTAAGGGTGAAACACAATATGAGGCCGAATTATGTGCTTTATAAATAAACTGCTTAAAAACCAGAGCACGCACTGCATAGTCAAAGACAATTGTATGGGTTAAAAAAAAAAAAAGTGTACAAGCATTCAACACTGTTACCTCATTAGCCGTGTAACTCATTAAAATAAAAACACTTAAAAACAGCGCTGCTAAAAGTACCTTGAGCAGAAATGTCTTGGGCTTTGGTCCTCTCTTTTTGGGCCCATAGAGCTCCCTTTCACGCTCCCTGTGAACAAATATAGTGACAGACACCCATTTTGAGTGTCACGGGAGCAAAGTGCACCGAGGACACCATATATTTATTGGACATGTTAACACTCACTGGCTCTGCCCACGAAGGCCAGCACAGACATCTTACCTCTGCTCAAAAGCGGCAAACAGGCGCGAGTCCAAAATATTTTCCTCCGGTTCCCAAGTGCTGTATCTGTGAATTAAAACATGAAGTTAGGTCGAGGAGGCGAGCGCTGACACACACCGTGTGGATGGCCGTAGCGTTAGCCTGCGAGCTAAAATCTCCATCGTGCTATAACGCTACACCTCAGTTTTAATCCGGGCTGTCTCGCTAGCTCTGGCGAGCTAACGACAGCCACCGCCGAGACAGTACACACACCACAGCCGCGGGTGGAAAACATGCAAGAGACACAATGCAGCAGGACTTACTTGGGAGACCAGCCCTTCCATTTCACAAGGTATTCGATCCGACCCTGCATGCCATCAGAAACAAACAGACATTACTTCATTAGCTTGCAGGGCAACAGTAGTATTAGAGTGCGGTGCTGGTGCGTTACATTCAACGCTTTGGGAGAAAACGGGCACATTACATCTCACGCCTACCTTCCTTATCCTCCGCTTGATGATAGACTCGGCAGCGAAGACCCTCTCCCCGACGGCAGACAGCTCCATGTTTACTCCAGTGCTACCTACCGTTAGCTTGGTGGACGCTAACGTTAGCAGAGCATATATTTTTCTCCAGTCCCAGCCACTCTGAATTCCCGACAGACCATAATACTCCCGAACAGAATGGACGTCAGCGCAGTTTTTTACAGCGTTGCTAGGAAACGGCAGTCGGAGGAACCTCTAGAAGGACACCCATTGGTCCAGCCGTTGCTACGTGCTCGGGTTGCTAAGTAAGGGGAGGAGCGTGCGCCTCGGTGAATTCTTCTTTCAGGGGGGAAATGGTGGCGATTTTCCCCGCGCGGCGAGTGAATCATTTCGCGCAACTTATGCGAGATATTCAAAAATGCACGTGGTATCACAAGTAGTGCAGTTTTAAGCGCACGGCAGTGTCGTCAAGCAAATAGAGAACCAGGAAATAACAAGGCTGTTTAATTTATGCGACAGAGCGACAAACAGTAGCCTATATGAGACGCCCCTCATTTTCGTTGAGTCTATCCGGCAATGTGTCTATCTAATGCTGTAAACTCTCTTGGCAGAGGTTATTATAGACCTATTAGTCATTAAGCACACAAGCCGTGATAGAACTCGTTACAAATGTATCGCCTGCCCACATTCATTCAGTTTATTCTCGCTGTCTCAGGCCAAACATAAAGGATCAATGCACTTCTGTCGGGCAAAAAGATACGCTATTTGTGTTCCTATTATTTCTTCTAAACACCATTTGTAGCGACTTTGATTTTGAAGTTAAGGGTTTAAGACACATTTATCGAATGCATATATTTATGGCGATTTGTGGTTTAAAATAACATCAGTATACATTATAATCAAAGAGCTGTCAGCCACGTTAAACACCGGGTTGATTGAGTCCGCCTTTAAATAAATCTGTAGTCAGGTGAAATGACAGTCCGTTTCTGTTACTGCATTATACAAGGTGTTTAGTGACAGTGATTTATAAATTGTTAGGAAAACGAAGCTGCTGGCATGAACCAAAATGAAGCATGAAAAGATCAGCTGATGCATGCTGTCCATATGTATCTGCATTATGGAAAAGATCCGACCGGTGTTACCGGTCACCTCCCGTCTGATTGATCGTTCAATAAAACATATAAAACAGGTTGCTGTCTGGTTCTGAGATTTCTAAAAAATAAACAGCTTTTCTGTCGGGAGTCTATGTCCTTTTCTGTTAATGAGATTACGAACCCAAATAATCTGCAAATGCGCAAATAATGTGTATCGGCTTCCATTAGGCATAGCCTGTTGTTTTTTAATGCAACATGCAACCAACGCAGTGAGAGAGCCAGAAAAATATAAATGTACACTATTCTATTAATTTAGTTTCTTCAACTCAAAAACTTTGATTTAACAAAATTAAAATAAATCCTATAGCCTAGGTCTATCAAACAAACACACAAACAAACAAACAAAAGGAGTTCTGATGAATCGGATTACTGTTCCGCTCAGTCTACAATCCACGGGCCGATGGCTAGGCCTACATTTTTTAAGAAATAAAGACAAAATAAATTAATTAAAAAATGATCGTTAAGGGGGCAATGGCAGCGATGTATAGGCCTAATCGGCGGGAATAATACATTAGGCTATTTAAAATAATTAATTGTAGGCCTAATTAATAAGAATACAACAACAATAATAATATTAATAATTTTAATAGGCAACATAACAGTTTTATAAAATATAAAATTTACGGTTCAGTAGAATCGGCAGGGTTTTGTCAAAGTAAGACAATTATTACACAGGACAGGCCTATTAGTTTAATTATCTGAGATATATGGAAAAATCTCATTTAAGCCTTTTAAAATGATCATTATTCATTCATTATTATTACCTTGATTGAAATACAGAGAAAATAAATGAGAGCGAACAATAAATGCGACTTCTTCGACACCAAGACTGAGAGCTGATGTTTGAACATTAAATTGTTCAATCAGGACTCAGAGTCCAGCCTCAGTTCTCAGAAGCATTAATAACCGACAGATTCAATTAAAACAGAATGAAGCAAGTGTTCCATGCCATCATTTCCCATAGAGGCCAAGCAGAGTCAGATTAGGTTTACCTATGCGGCATGACCACTGACGATTGACAGAAAAATAAAATATTAAAAGACTCTTATAAATTCTTATCGGTGTGTTGTACAAAATAATTCATAAACAATATTATTCCACAAATAAGAAGTCCAAATAATTGGAAGCTGTTTATTTAAATAACATGTATTTTCCCCTCTCTGCTGTGTGTGAAATAGGCTGACTCTGAATCAGACATCATTGTAAAGCTTCTACATCAAACAATAAAATCATTATAATTAGTTTGTCAAGGAGATTAAATGTTTACATGCATTTCAAGAGAGCAAATGAAATGAGCGCTTTGTATGAATGATTCAGCCAGATGAAAGATGGCAGTGAAGGCCTGTACGGCTTTAAACGACCTGCACTGACAGACGGGAGAAAGACTCCACGGATTCATTTAAACACCTCACAGGCCATAGACGGATCCCACATCTAATATAGGCTGTGTTCATTCGGCTGAAACGCAGAGATCAGGACACAAACCTCCGTTTAAAGGCCCTGACAGTTCACACTGAGGCATAACTAAAGGTCAATCATTTATTACACTGACCACTAACTTCTTTTCATCAGAATATTTGTCGTTATAAATTCGTTAAATTATTAATGAATCGCTGTGTCTGCAAACGGCACAAAGCCACAGTGGATTTGATTTCCAAGAAAGTCTTCATTCAGACGCGAATAGATTGATGCCTAATGTAGTGTTTAAAGTTTTTCTTCTCATTGTTTCTGATGAAGGTAGATCACCTCAAACCAAACCCATGGGGGGTGATGCGACCCCACAGAGAGACATCACAAACAGTGACAGCAGCAACTGGGATTATTATCCAAATAAACCAGAGTATTTTCTTCAATCAGAGCTGAAGCCTGAAGGAAAGAACGCAGAGAGGGAGAGTGAATCCATCTGAAGCCGTTCTACAATTTTAGATTTAAAATATGGAAGATATCCACATTTGATGAACTGAGGAATGGTAACGTCGTGGAGACTTTTTGGGAGAGGCAGATACATTTGGAAGCAGGCAGAAGCCAATGAAGTAATACATTGGCTTGGGAGACGTTTGTCTCATGATGTTATGATTTTAGGATGTATTTCTGATTGCATTCCTGTCTCCAGTGTTCCGACAGAAAGGGAAGACGGGCGCAGCTCGCACTCTGGATGCGATTGGTCTCGGCGCGCCTGCAGTGCAGCAGTGCTGCCGCCGTTAAAACACCATTGGTTGGCTTGTATCCGGGCAAGACGCGGGTTCCTGGTGTGCGCACAAACGGGAAAACCCCTGCCACACCAAACAGGCAGTGATGTGGAAACCGCAGTAATAGGCAAAGAGACATACAGACAGAGTAGGACATCGGTCGTTCCCATTAAGCCCATTTGATCAGTTTGTTGGTGGGATAATTATAAAACAGAGAAGAAGGGCGATCTTGATACGAAACAAGCAATGCTGAAATTAAACAGTGTTCCTCTTTCTCTTACAATCCTCTAAGGTTTCATTTATTGCATTTAGTTATATAGCAACTAATGGAAAGGTGAGGCAAGGCAGTTTTATCACTGAGGATCTCATCATGCACACAGGCTTTCGGCCATATAGGGCTATTTGCATTGGCTTTAAACCGGGGATTTCTTTCCCAGAACCCTCCTTGCCTCAAGAGAAAAATTTGTTTTCCGTGAAGTCTACAAATCCCCAACATGTTCCAGAAGCAACACACACCTATATGTTGTTAAACTTGAATGAACACATACTTACGTACACACACAGAACGCTGCAGATGACACACAGGCCATACAGGTTTAAACACTCACGTGTTTGGATCATGTGGACTGATGAGTCAGTGACTGCTGCTGCTGATTTGAGTTTAATCACAAGTGGGTGTGTGTCACTGAACTGACACAGCAGGGTGTTCCCAGCAGGTGAGTCAGTGTATTTGGAACCTCCAGAGTCATGATGACTGTACTATGCGCTCTGCATTCCCCTCCAACCACTCATTGAGTTATTAAGGAGGCTGGGATAAACAGAGGGAAATGAATCGGTTTCTGCAAAGAGTTGTGGTATTGTAATAAATACAAGAATTTGAAACGAATATGCTGTGTCATTCTGACAGTGGAGCTACACGGTGGTTTAGTGAAAGAGATCCTGAGATCATTTTTTTCCTTTAGAAAATAAAAGAATTTTTACAAAAGTTCTGCAGGCCTGGTTTAAACAGCTGGGTTCACACTTATTGCACAAAGTCATTCGTTGGCAGAAGTATTGTCTGTTTTGTGTTCCTGACAGTTAAAATGGCTGTATCACAGCAACACTCACAATTAAATAAAGAGCATCTAACAGATTGTGCCTGTCGCAAATGTTTCATTTAAGCCTCCATCCTTATTCAATTACCCTGAGTTAAATTAGAAATCTGTGAGTCAGTTTAAAACCCGCAGTGCTTGGACTTTATATTTCTGTGCACCTGGATGTGGAATTACACTGCAGGCCTGCTGGAGAGGACTCCGCGGAAGACACGTTTTTAATGTCCCTGTTCCTCTAGAAAGATCCGGACCCCAGCAGCACTACCTGTGCGTTGATCGCCTCTCAGTCTGTCGGGGATCAACCACAGGCCTGACTCAGTCATACAAGCATGAGCTGGCAGATGAGAGGAAGAGGGTGGATCATCAAGAACACGAGTTATTACACCATTTTATACACTTCTTCTTTTATTTATCGGATAACATTTGTTCGCAGTGTTACAGGGTTTTTTTCTCTCCATTTTTGCCTACAAACAAGCAAACAAGCCATATGACACTTAGAGGAAATAATAATGTCTTAAATCCTGCGGGGGATTTCCTGCTGCAGCTTCTTAGCTGAAACATTGTTGCAATTATTTGTCGGCTGCAGCAGCTGCGAGGCGTCTCCCAGAGACACCACAGAGAAGAAAGTGGATGGAGCGGAGAGAGGACAGCCATTTTCTCTGTCGTTGCTCACATTAACGCGTGCAGAAAGCACTTTTATTGGCGGGCTGCAGCGGAGGAAAATGGTCGGGAGGTGCAGTCACTACCGTTTCGGTCGTCGAATTACACAAGTCACGTGTTTACAGCGTCGGAAAAGGCGGATTTTAATCATTCCCCCCCATAAAACACACACCAGAGGTTGCGTTCGAATCAAACAGGAGCATTTTCTGAGAGGTTTATGAAGCACGGAGCTCCTCCGCACCCTAAAGGCGCCCTCCACTTATTCAGAGGAGCAGCAACTGTCTGCTTCATCATATGAACGCAAGAAATAAGAAACCGTGGAAATAAAAGCTTCTGTCGTTTAGGTTGAACCTGTAGGTCAAGCAAGAAATCGGTCGCCCCCTGCTGCGTCCCTCTTAGCATGTCGGGAGGGTCTATCCAAGAAACATCTGACCTGAACAGCTGCTGAGGTCAAACTTATGAGCTTTAAACGACCAATATCCTCATAAAAGACACGCGTGTTGGTTAAACCATAAAGCAATGACGGGTCGATTTTTGTCGGCATCTGATTTAAAGAACAGCAGTTATTATTATCATCTGGAGATCTTATTATATCGCATATTAATATTTCAAATAACACACACCTGTAATGTTGGTTTTAACACACTATCTGTTGCTGATTTAGGCCAGAATGAAGCTGCAAACGGCCTTTTTACTCGCTTTCCATTTAATTACTTGTGAATGCTTGAAATGAACGACCAGGCGTTTGCTGTCTATATGCAGCAGGCCTGACCTGTAGCTACAGTATGCACACAAGGCAAATAGTTGGTCCGGGCAGCCCATCTGAAAATAAACTCACAGGCTCTGTAATAATCCTCACGGCCCGCAGCCTACACACACACACTCTAACACACACAGCCACAAATAGAGCCATGTACAGATTTGGAAACTTGAGGTAAGGTTAGCCATTTAAGAGCCTTATAGCTGCCGCCCTTTCCTGTTGAAATCTTTAATTCTGCGTGGGAAGCCAAGGTCACATGGATACCAGACATTAGGTTTCTTTTTTTTTTTTTTAAAGCTGGTATAGGGTGATAGAAGTATAAACTGAAACACACAAGTCCACATAGCACTTGCAAACAATTTTATTATTGCAAAATGTATCATTGGAAGCCTTCATTTTTTTAGTCTGCACACAAAACATCAAAAGTGCAAATCCGGTCAGCATCCTCACAGAGCAGTTCAATGCACCTCAGATCACAAAGTGCTGGAGGGGGTTTCTAAAGAGGGAGAAGGGGCATGTGTGACACAAGGGGACGGATCTGATTATGACAACAATGTGTGCTTTTACGTACTTTCAATTACCGCTTTGTTGCAAAAGTTACTCAAAATGTGACAGAAACAAGCCCATTCAATTCCATACATAACAGCAAACATGTCAGGGTGCCAGAGAACGGAAACATGAAAAAGTGATTCATAGAGCACCCAGCTGGTGGTACTAATCTGTTGGATTACACAGCTCAACTGGCAGTGTTAACACAGATTTGTGATTGATATAATTCAAAATTTTAAAAAAGCAATTTTCAGTCACCACACTGCTGCGAAACACAGAATGAACAGTCACAAAGTTGTAAATTGACTGTCTTAATGGAAGTGACTTGTGCTCAGTATCAGATCTCGAGATGCATGGCTCAAAAAACACTTTGCACAGATATCAAATAAAAGGAGCATATATCAAACATTAATAATCTTTCATTTAAAAACCTTTCTGTGTTCCCTTTTCCACAATGCAAATCACATTTATTGACAGAAAGGCGCTTCATTTTTCTTTATCTGCTTGTTTAAGCATGCCTAATGGCATAATCTGTCCAAACAGCATGCATCCTTGTTTAAATCTGTCCATCTGTTCACACACACTCTCTCACACACAAGCACACACACACACACACACACACACACACAGTGTAATTTACCATGTTTCAATATAATTTGTCTTCCTTACAAAACTCTCCATAAAGCCTACATTAGTTGAACATTATCTTATGCAGACAGTTGAGTGTATAATGAAAGTACATCCATAGAAAAGTGAAGAGTATGTACAAGAGTTAAGTGCATCTTCAATTAAAGTTCTGGCATTTCTTAGACCTAATTTTACTTTTTAAACTAGGTTTGAAATAGCTGAAATTAGATACTGCATGTGATAAAATCTCCAGAAGTAACAACAGGTAGAGCTTATGAGAAGAAATTTGCAAATAACGCAATAAAGGATTTTTTTTAAACTGAACTATACAAAATGAAAACAACATCAAGGGTTCATTTGTACATTCAATAATCTGAAAATACAAATATATGTAATATACATTTATACAGTTACACAGCTGGTCCCCACTTCAGTTACACTGTTATGTATTCCTTAAACGTGACTGTGAGGCAATTTGTAGTAATGTCTGTGATCACTATATTCCCAAGGAAAGGCTGGAAAGAGGGAAATGTCACCTCCTTTCTCTTTTCGTGGTTAGAAACAGGTGATGAATCAACCTTCTCCTCCTCTGTAGCTTTTTCTGTTTCAGTCTGGGGCAGAGTGTCTGTCTGTGCGTCCGTTTGTGTTTCAGCTTGTGTGTCTGCTTCATCCCGTGTGTGTGTTTCATCCTGTGTGTGTGCTTCAGCCTGTGTGTGTGCTTCAGCCTGGGTAGCTTTAGGCCTGGACTTGACAATGCTCAAGTCCATAGGTTCCTCTTGGTCTGCATAGCCACAGTCCTGCAGTCCAATGTGACTCTGGAGTCCGTTTTGGTGGGTGCTGATGCTTTGGGTGGGTGAAGATGCCGTGTTAGGAGCGCTGATACTCCTGGAGCTAAAAAACCTCTTACTGCTCCTGTGCTCCTCACTATCCGTGTCAGAGAAGTGTCGCTTTAGTCCTTGAAATCCACCTTGGCTTCCTCTTTTGTCAAGTGGGGAGGGAACTCCCCTATCCAAAGGCAGGGAGAGCAGATTAGGCTTGGTTGTCAATTGTAAAGGCTGATCCGCTGGAAGCTGCCCCTGACCCCTGACCCCGATATGTTTATCCTGCTCCGTCACAGTTGGCTCCATTTTGGGGGACTGTTCCTTTTCTTTGCGGCAATCTCCGTTAAATCCAGAACTGGGAACAGTTTGTTTAGCTTTGGGGTTTTTTGCAAATCCATTCATGAGGCCGAGCTTCTTGACGAGTCTCATCTTCTCAAGGTGGTTCTCCGTGGTGCTGTCCGTCCCCTGCGGCGGCTTTTCAGCTGTTTCAGAATCCCCGTTTTTAATCTTAGCCGCTTGCATTCCGTTTTCCATGTACTTGCTCATGACAATAACAATCCGCCCATTCTTGTTTTTGTTCTTTACGATCTTTAGCTTGCCGTTGCTGACACCATTCGACTGTGGTAAAGCATCCTCTTTAGGTTTGACCTTCTCTGGCTCTTTGTGGCCATTGAGGTCTGCTGGAAGCTTCTTCAGCTCCATGGTGATATCCTTGACTTTGGTAAGGCAGCCTGAGTCCTTGTCCCTGACCCACTTTTGCTGCAGCACCGGGGGAAGGTTGTACCCCTTGTTGGCCAGCTCTGGAGCCTTGACCTCTCTGGGTTTAGCAAATATGGGCTCATGCACCTTGAGGTCCGGTTGGTAGTGGTGATGCTTCTTGCTGTTTAGCTGATAGTAGAACTTCTTGCCGTTGGCCTGCTGCTCGGCCTCCCGCTCCCTGCACAGTGGCTGGTACTGGTGGTGCTTCTTGCTGTTCAGCTGGTACTGCTGGCCCTGGGGACGGAGCATCTGAATGGGGCTGGTCTTCTGACAGCTTCCCTCGTCCAGGGACGCCTCATGAAGGTCAGCCAGAATGCTGGATCTCCGGGCGAAAGAAGGAACCTGTGAGACCAGACAGTAGCTTGTGTTATTAAGTACATTTAACTTCAATAATATTACACAAGGAATTGGGGGATTTCTGGTGTTCTTACAGTATTTAAAGAAAAGGGTGTCTCTCTCCGCAGGCCATTTGATTAATGGTTCAACTGTCTACAGTATCTATACATGTGTCTGTGTCATGGCTACAACAAAAAGCCATGGTTCGCTGGGGCCCACGAGCTGCACTGAAGAAACTGTGCTCGGAATGTGTGAAGGGGCTCTTCTGAGGCCCCAACGAGCACACAGTTTATTTCAGGGGCCTTCGCCCATGTTCACACAGCCCTCCTACAGTTCCTGTGCAGCTCTTTCAGCCAGTGGCCTGGCCATCAGAGTGACATTTCAAAGTGTCTCCTGTGGCTGTGACCTCAGCTCGGAGGAATGTCACTGGCTGCTTTGTGTCCCGTCATTGACTTTATCCCATGTGTTACCACCAACACCCTCCTGAGAGGAACAAAAACACTCCTCTGAGGGGTTCCCCAGGCCTTTTAGACTGGTGATTGATGCGCTAAATGTACGATTCACAGTCATTTAGTTACAACTGTTAGGTCAGGGAACTGGTCTCTATAAAATTTAATGGATATAATATCTGCTCGCATATATATTGTATATCTTTACATTTTCTAAGTTAAAGGAGCACAACACTGATTTTACACACACAAAATTCAATTATCTCAACAAGAGGGGCCTTCTGTGGCCCTGGAGGAGCTTTGTCAGGTCTGAGAAAAAAAACCCTGTGGTACAACCTGGATATGTTGATAGGCATGGGTGTTTACCAGGCAGTGGGGTCTGCCAAATAATGCATCTGAGCTGCATTATGGGAAAAGTAGGATCCAGCATTTCTGGAGCTTGACCATGTGTAAAAGTCAGGCTATCTCAGCTGAGGCTGTGTATTAGCACAATCTGACGATATGATGTGCATTATGATATAGGGGTTATGCTTCAATATATTGCGATATATTGCTGTACTGTGAGCCATAATATATTGTGGAGATTTTAGGAAAACTGTCATAGTATAAAGAACAGAAGAAAAGCTTACTTTTATATGCAACAGAACAGAACAGTGGGATATGTATTTGTATTATCACAGTCCCTGTAAAATCTCACATCACAGCTCTCAGTTAAGGTTTACAACTCTGCTGTCTAGAGGTTGGGGTGTTTAAACACAAAAATCAACAGTGTTTTTGAGAATCAACACGATATCACGGAACAAAATATTGCAATACTCAAGTATACTAATACTTTCTTACACCCATAATCTCGGCCTTTTGCTGCTTTTATTTTGACCATTCTTTTTTGTCTGTCTCTTGCAGGTTTATGGAAGTGCAATATTATACCGCTGGAATGCCCCTTTAGATCTTCCTTATAGGGACATTTTTCTATGTTGCTTCCTGTGATTTATGGGGGGATTATGCATGAAAATGAATTTTAAGTATACCTTGATTTGATCGTTGACGTCATTGATAATAAAAAGAAGGGATAAGAAAGATTAACTGTATTTTTTTCCTCACCTGAACCAGAAGGTGCTTCGGCTTGGGTCCTCTCTTGCGATATCCCATCAGCTGCTCTTGACGTTCCCTGTGGGAGAGGAAAACAGCAGCCAATCAGTGAAACCATCTCACAGAGACGAGTCGCCGTTGCATGGCAACACACCGTCACGGGTGTCCTCCTCAGGCTCAGTTAGAAAACACTGAGCCCATGTTACAGATTGGAGTTACACTTCCTGATGCAGGAAGTGAAATTCATCCAGCACGGATTAAAGGAGCGTGCATTTTTATTTCATTATCGTTTATTTACTTTTTTACAGAATCCTCACCTTTCTTCATGCTTAATACCTTGTTACACTTGTCCCTAGCTGCTACAAAAAGCCAAACAGTGGCTTCAAATGAGGCTTCTTCCACCCAAAATAACACTCAATATATAATGTAATGTCTGTATCCACAGTAGAAGATAAAGGCCAGCCTCTCTCCGACTTTCCTTAGCTTTCTTCAGTCTCCATGCAAGTCTGTCCAAGGCAGTAACTCAATACCACAGACAGGAGTGATGTCAGTCCCCTCCCCCACCCTCCTCCCTCACATCTAATTACAATGACGACTCAGTGTATTTTCATAGCCTGGCATTCAGACGATTTGGCTCCCTGGAGAGACACGCAATTAGTTTCAATAAAGTCTCTCCTCTTTAGAGCGAGAGAGGTAATTGCAAAAACAGACGCAGAGTGATGTCGATGTTTTGGTTTACCGTGTGACCTGCACCTGAAAGGTTACAGTAAGCAAAAGCTGAAGGTGGCTAAGAGAACAGCCAGTGACAGTTTAAACACGCCATGCATTCAAGAAATTCAATTACACTGTCCTTCATGTGGAGCTGGCTGGTCAGTCACTCAACAGACTATTTAGCAATAAGCCAAGCAGCTAATTTCACCATGTTAGCCAACTTTGAAAACCATGGACACTGGGTCCTTCACTCATAGAGAACACGAGGAAGTTACTCTGATTCAATTTTGAGACAGTGCATTCTAACATTTACTAAACTACTATTAAGTTCATTGCTCACTTCATTTCGTCTTCCCACTACATCATGAGATTTAGAAAATATGTGCACCATAATTTTAATTCCCTCTCCATTCAAAAATATGTTTTTCTTCCTGTTCCTACAGTGTGATATTTAAGCTTCACTGTGCAGAATGCAATCAGTGCAGAGTTTGACACTAGAA